CCGCGGGGAGGCTACTTCCAGGCCTTACCACTTCCCAGCTGCTCGGATTTGCTTTATTCCCCTTCTCCCCTCCTCCACAAGAGATCTTTTTTCCTCCCATAATGTCCCGATTTCCCTGCTCCTGCTTTCAAACGCTCTCAGGCTGTACCTTTCCCCGCTGCAGTTCCTTTTGCCTGTTCTGTGTGCTAAGGCTGTAAAATAAATCGGAAGAATGATTTTCAGATCCTCGCAGCAGGGAGCAGACAGTAGGGATGGCAGTCCCAGCAGTGCGGCAGCAGAGACACCCTCCAGCGAAGACTTCAGGTAGAGTCCATCTGCAAGAACTGCATGATCCCCTATCACCCCATTTTTAAGCCTGCAGTATTGCTTTTGGGTGCATAGTAAGCAAGTACATTGAAGTCCCTTCAAAGCAGAAACCTCTGGGAAAGCATACTGACATCGCTTGGTTGCTTTTTCTGGAATACTTACGGAATGGACACAAAACTCAAATAATGTGTTAAACATAAATTATCATCTTGGAGTTTCAACTCTGTTTTCTTTGCTACTAAGACTTGACATTTCTGTATTGACTTAGGTCTTCAAGTAGATAATAGATAATTAAAATTTATTAAACAATTTTAAATGGACATGTTATCTTTCCACAAGCTCTGTAATGGAGTTGTTGCTCTGTATTACAGCCAGGGAAACATAGGAACAAAGAGGGGCAGTGACTTCTTCATAGCTGCTGAGTTGTTCAGCATCAGCTGACACCACAACTCCAGAATTCTGGTCTAGGGGGCAAACCACAGAATGCATTTCTGAGGGGCCAGAAGTCACGGAGCAAGTTAGCTGTAAGCCAGACAGATGACAGTGGTCCCCCTCCTAGAAGCAGGTGGTTCTGCACTCATTCAGAGGAAGAAAACTGTAACATTTGCTTTTTGCTAATGATTTCTTCTTGTTTTTTAAAGCCTCTCCTTGCTGGACACTAACTTGCCAGCCGAAGCAGAGACTGAATTGCGCAGTTTTATCGCTAAGCGTCTTACTAAAGGAGCCCTGTTTGAAGGAATGGGGAATGTAGCATCAGTGGGGCTGAGGTAAATTTTAAAAATTAGTTGTGAATGAGAACTGTAAGAAACATTGGCAATATTGCACACCTTGCCATCTGGTGCTGCACTTAGGTGTAATCCCAATTCTGTGTTCTCAGTCTATTGCTGCTGTTAATAACAGCTTTACGCAATGGCGCTTTCCTCTTTTTCTAGGTTGCTTTGAGAAAAATATTGTAGTAAATAACTTATTTTTTGAATACTTAAAAAATACTACATGTGTTTATGACTATTTCCTTTTAAACTACTCTGGCATCACAGAGGAAAAAAGAGAAGGTATAAGAGCTCTATATATGATCATAGGAGCTACCAGTGCTAGTGGGTAAAAATTCTTTACAGAAATCATCTATGTCTGCTTTTTGTACTCATTTATTGTGATGTGTCTGTAACAAAATAATTCTGGTTTTTTTCTTTCTGCACAGCATACCAGAATATAAAGTTGGTTGTTATTACTGTCGTTTCCAACAAGAAAATCTTCTAGAAATGGCAACACTGGAATCAGATATCAATGCTCCAGAATATGTGGTTTGTTTCTTAGGTGGTTCAGAGAAAGGTCTGGAACTATATCCTTACCTTTAACTTTCTGTATCTCTGTGGAGAGGGAGATGATGTAAAAATTATGGTCTCATCATGTCTGTTTCCTGCTTGAAATCAGCTTGTTTGTGCACAACTTCCAATAACTGAAAATGTTAATAACAGCCATATACTGAAAGGGAGAAATGCAGATCTTAACTGATGCATCATATTTTCCTTAAGAAGATACTTTCAGACTTGAGCTGGACAAATACATTCAAAGTCTGAAGATAAATCTTGATTTGGAGGTAAGGCCTAACTTTTTTTTTTTAAGTGGTGAAAATTACTATTTACACAAATTAATTACTAATACAATCTGGAAGATTTAGTCTATGGAGACAAAATAGGTGTTTTAAGTACCAGTAGGAAATACAGAGAGAGATACTTGATCCACTGTAGTGACAGTGAATGTCTAAAGTGTTATCAACCACACAAGTGAAAAGGAAAAAAAAAGGGGGGTGGGGGAGAGAGGACTTTTTTGTGCCAGCCATAAATCTCTTAAAGGTTACTTGCAGTTAGATTCAGAGAGAAGAATGAATAATGAAAGGTAATGGTCTACAGGAAAGTTATCAATGGTCCACCTGGATTCTTATCACTTCTGAATGTCGGGGAAAGATTTTTAGTGGATTTCTTGTCACAGTTTTTCTAATGGAAACTGCATTTTAAGTCTCTTTCTCATCCCATCTGCTGTTGCAATGGTCTTTGCTCAGTACATACCATAATATTACAGTTCTGTCTATTTCTTAAAATACAAAGCCCTTCTTTGCTGATAAAGTGTGGCTTTAAACCTCAAAGTCATTATTTTACTGTGGTTTGAAATTAAGAAGGCTCTGACATCCAAATATCTTAGGTTGAATAGATTATTAATAGGTTTCTATTTGTGTAGAAATCTAATCTGTAGTTAAAAGTTTTAACATTTCAACCTGTTACAGCAAAAATCCTTGGAGACCTGTGTTAGCCCCTACTTGAGAAGCTGGTTTGAGAATGCCATATGCCCCATTCAGAGAGTGGTACAGCTTTTCCAGGAGAAACTCGCCTTTTTGTTACATGCTGTAAGTAAGTGTATTCAAACTGGATAACTAAAAAAGGTTCAGAAGGAATCTCAGTGACTCCAACATGTTTTCAATCTTTCTTGCATTTGCTTTCCCAGCCAGGGTAAACAAGGAACAAGTTTTTTCTTCTTTTTTTTTTTTTTTTTAAATTCAGGGCAAGTACATTTTCCCTGCTTTATTGCTAAGGAAGCACATAGCAATTTCTTCTATCAGTTGTCATAGTTCACTCATTTTAAATTACATAGCAGTGTCCAAGTTGAAATTAGAATGAGAAAATTAGAAACAGCACGAGAATACTGTCCCCACTATAATTTCTCTGAACCAAAAGAGATGTTATATTGTGTATGTGCCTCATGTAAGTCACTGGAAACAGAACAGAAATTAATCCTAGCTCTAGTCAGGGAGTTTGAGGCAGCTTTGGATGGAATAGCTAATAGAGCATAACTGCTGTATTTCTTCTGAATGCAAAACCAGCTGCAATGACTATAGTATGGAGTATTCCCTTAGCCTCTACTCTTTCTCTGAAAAGAACAATTTTTAAAGTACCACATTACGTATTTATTGCTAGTGACTGCAATATAGCAACAGAAATAGTATCAAAGTTGCATCCAGTTTTCATTTTTTTGTTTGTTTTAAGGCTTTGAGTTATACTCCTGTGGAAGTAAAAAACGCAGATGAAAGAACAGAAAAAGACATCAGCAGGTAAAGATATTTTGAGAACCTGTGAGTAACTTGGTTTTTGTGTATGACAGCCTCCTGTTCTTGCTGTTAGGAATGGTAAAGAAGCCAGCAGTTCATGAGAGCTTTTTGTGTCAGGTTTCTGGCAGCTGCCAGCCTCCAAGGACTTGTTCAGGAAGGCACAATGACCTCCTTGTGCATTGCCATGACTGAGGAGCAGCACAAGTCAATAATTATTGACTGCAGTGGACCTCAGCCTCAGTTGCATAACGCAGGTGAGATTACAGCTGTGAATACTTCTTCATGTTACTCACTTGTATCCATCAGCTGCTGAGAGTTGAGAATATTCAGAAGCTCGTAGGTTCATGCCCAGAAAGTTTGGATTCTGGCTGGAAACTACACCATCTGGTTTCCTGTGAGCAGATACACTGGAACTCTGGTTTGAAAATGGCTGATAATAAAATCCACAGTGCATTTAGTTTGCAGACCATTAAACTATGATTTGTATGCTTCAGAGAAGCTGCAAAACTTTTTTCCTGTTGCCCTTTTTCACAATATTTGTCAAAGGAATTGAACAATCAGAACAGAATTTCATGTAATCATTATGCTGTTTGCTTTTCTTTTCCACACGTATTGTTTTTCTTACTACTTGTTTCTTAGCCCAGATATATTATTATCAGTTGTTATGTGAGAGTGATTAAACCAGGTGAATGGAGCTATATATTTATCTTCAGCTCCTTTACTTTTTCCCATCTCTTCTCTGTGTTCTTGAACACGTAACAGGAAGCAACAGATTCTGTGAGGACTGGATGCATGCTTTTGTGAATGGTGCTGAAGGTGGAAATCCGTTTCTCTTCCAGCAAATTTTGGAAAACTTTAAATTGAAGGTACCTGTTCATATATGTTAAAGACTTCAGGAAGACGTCAGGGTTACTGAGGGAGCAAATACTCCTCTTGCAGCAAAGAAAAGCTTTAGGTTATTTATGTCTATATGTCATTAGTTGATTAACTCTGAAGTTTAAGTTGAGCACTGGGTTACTGTAGTTGACAAGACCAGAATGTAAAGTAGTGTGAAAGCTTCTTCAGTGACTATTCCAAAGGCATTTTAAGTTAAATTTTAACTAATTAAGGAACTATTTAACTAATTAAGTTAAGTAAAATTTTAACTAATTTCATAGTTAAAATAAACCCTACTTTTTTCTCTTTGTATTATAATACTGTTAACTTGAGCTGTGCACACACAATATTGTGTGACATGGATTCGGTAGTTAATGTTCCTTAGGTGATCTGTCATAATAGGCGAACTCTAGATACAGGGTTGGACACAATCAAGCTGTGGTCGCCACACGTTTTGCATTGTTACAATAACAGGGGTAACACATGTCACAGTACTCAATTCTTAAATTACTCTTGAGTAGTAATATAAAATTTCTATTGGAAATGCTTTTGCTTCTCCTGCTATTCTTTGTTTGCTGTTCCACATGATGGTATGTTTTCTTTCCGTGTAGAAGGATAAGAAAATGCTCTGTTACTCTTTTCCCAGGCTATACAAGACATAAACAACCTGAAGAGGTTTATCCGCCAGGCTGAAATGAACCACTACGCCTTGTTCAAGTGCTACATGTTCCTAAAGAACTGTGGCAGTGGAGACATACTTTTGAAGATTGTTAAAGTAGAACATGCAGAAATGCCAGAAGCCAGAAATGTAGTGACTGTCCTTGAGGAATTCATGAGAGAAACATCAGTGGCTTAAAACTATCTTAATTATTCTGTACTCATTTGAGGGTACTGTATAAATCATTAATTTCTTCTGTGCAGCTTAGTTTCACTATTGCACGATTTTTAATTTATATTTAAAAGTATTAAGTCAAACCTAAGTTGCAGTTTCACCTGCCTTTTGTCTTTTTTAGAGAAAGCAGTATGAGCTTTTTTAATGTGTAAATATCAGATGATACAAAATCCTGCATAGTTTTCAGTGCTTACCAGATTCTCCAAATGACTTGCTCCTTTTCTGAAGAAATCATGACATTTGTTTTTTTACAGTCATTGCACACAAAAAAACCCCAAACCAAATCCCCTACCTGGCAAGCATTTCAGTGTTTTAAATATTTTAAATATCTTTATAATGATCATGTCTAATCATTAAGATCTGTTTGCTTTTGTTTTAATATATAAAGCACAAACCTCTGGATAAATCATAGTAAATGAATTAATCATATTTGTTTATATCAGAGAACATAGTTAACAAGTCTGTAGCTAGTTTCCACATTCTACTTTCAAAGTGGCAGTTTGTTCTTTGGGTACTAGATAAACAACTTGTTAATTGGTATGAAACAGAACTGCCTTAAGGCTGAACAGTTTTAGGAAGCAGTTTATGTGTGCTTGTATGTATGCCTACCTATGCTGGACAGACAAATTCCCAAGCTATTTGATGAATCCCATTCTTCATTAGTTTGCATTGTGATCAAGACGACCTTTGTATGTTCTTATACCCATTTTGCTAAATAACTAATCATGAAGTTTTTCAATTGTGGAGAATTAAACCTGACAATTTTACAGAATAAATATTAACTTTAAATGAATAGAAACTTCTTCAGAAATTGAAGTAAACTAAGTTCCTAGGTTAATTATTCAGACTTTAAAACATTTCATTGTATTTCAGCAATGAATTCTTACCTACATCATAGGACATTTAGACAGCAGAATACTTGAAGAAAATCTGGAATCAAAACTCACAAGGCCTCTGAGTGACCACATCATTGAGGACTAGTTCTACAAACATGACATGAGCAAACTCCCCATTGCTTTCCTTTGCAGCCAAGGGTGTTTGAACACCTAACTCAGAGTAGCTGAACAACTCTTCCTGACACAGGAACTCTAAGCAGTCTCACTAATGCATTTAAGTTTGTTCTGCCAGTGCTGTATACTGTGATGATAAAAGTTGAATGATTTCCTGTGACACTACTGTGTTCAACCTATCATAAGGTTTACAATAAAACACATTTACATCCTTAATGGTGTGCCTACATAAGTTACAAATGAGCATTGTCCTTGATGTCTTCTGTTTAAAACCCTTTATTCACACAATGTAGAGGAGCTGCTAGTGTAAAGCATAGGAGTCTACAAGTGGTATAGTGACAGCAGAGGTAGCACGTAACATGTATGGGCAGTCAGTGAAGAGAATGGAAGTAGTTTGAAAGAAAACAAATCCCTTATTGTCTCATATGCAGCAGCTCTGAGAAGTATCAATTTTTTTCCTTCAGAATATTTTATTCATGAGTAAAGCAGCGCCACTTAATAAAAACATGTCACCCTTTGTTGCTCTCGTACATTTTTAACAAAGTTGGAGCACTTTAGTATTTTGCCTGATCTGGAGGCAGGGGAAAGCTCAATGCTAAAAAAAAAAAAAAAAAAAAGAGTTGGATGTGAAGAAGAGGCAGCTGTGATGTGGCAGGAGTGTAAGAAATCCTTGCACTAGTGCTGTCCTGTTCCTGTGCCTGCTGCTGGGTGAAGTTGGGCTGAAGCCTCCTGGCCAGGGGTTCCATCTCCTGGCCTTAATATTGACAAACAGTTGGTGCTGGTGATGATGAACTTTTCCTGAGATGCTTTGCTCAGCCTTCATCCCGGGATGTTTTCAACAATAAACTGGCAGAAGTACTGAAGGACCTGTATTACCTCTGAACTGACCCTGTCCTGAGCAGGACCTTGGACTGGAGATCTCCTGAGGTCCCTTATAACCCAAGTGATCCCATTATCCTGTGACCTGGACTACACTTATTTAAATAAGATATTTGGGTTGTTTGCTAGGTAAATTATCATAAATCACTTTTCAAAATCCAGATATTTTTAACCTTAACTGTAACACTTTGCTTAGTTGTGTTAAGGCGTCTCCTCTCCAAGTTGATGCATTGCTCAATATCCATCTTACTGAATTTGTGCTCTGTTACACGTGGGCAGCTCCAGTCACAGCTTTTTCTGTTGCAAGTTTCTTTCCCTGAATTTTCCCAGCACTGAAGGTGGCTGGCATGGTGCAAAACTACTTCTTGCTTTCTGCAGCCTTTGTTTTATCATCTTGCTTCTGCCAGCTTTGCAGTAACTTTGCTATTCAGTTACCTAACTACTAAACTCAAGGCACTCACAAGTACACACACACACTGAAATACACCTTGGTAGTTCATGAATTTACAGGTTTTACTGGCATCTTCCCATTATAAATTCTACTTTAAAAAAGAAAACTAAAGGAAATTGAACAAAAGAGTAATAAATAATGCAGAAGCAGCTGGTTTAGCTGCATGAGTGCCTGGAGAGTATTACACACTTAACTTCCTCCAGCAATCAGCTATTCAAAGCTCAAGATGAAACACACAAAGGTCAGAAGATGCCAAGATGTGCACTTAATTTGGAAACCTGAACAATTTTTACTGTGGTTTTAAAGTTCTGATTTAAAACTCTTTAGGAAAAAAACAAAACAAAACACAAACCAAAACAACAGAGATGAACCAAAAAACAAAACCCCCAAACCCAACCAAACAAAAAAAAATCCCCCAGACCTATGTTAAGAATGGAAGTTCAGATGTAACTGCTATGAGCCTCTTGCAGTTTGAAAGATCACAATACACTTTTGTGTGTGTTTTCCCCCCCCTTGACCCCCAAGAGAAGTAGCATGTAAACCAATTAATTCTCTTTCCAACACTTATGAGCAATGCTTACTATACAGAATATGATAGGAGCTATGGGAATAAAATGATAGAGTTTTACGAGTTTGTGTGATCAAGGCTGAGTATCAAGGCTGCCAGCTTTTGGCTCCTTCTCTGCCATAGATATGCCGGAATTGGCAATACTTCTGTCCTTCAGTTTGCCTTATTTTAGCCAGCAAGAAAAATGTATGGTGCTAGCAGACAGTAACACTTCCTGTATTAAGTGGCAAAACCCACCTTGCCTTCTTGCTGAAAGTCCTCAACTAATGAATAAAGAACTTTAAGTGTCTCGGAAAGCTCAGTTAAGCGCAGAAAACTAACAGCAAGAGCCAAGTCCCACATACTGTAGCAGAGATCTGCCTCCCCTTAGGAGTAACAAATCTGACAGGAACTGCTGCTAGTTACATCTTATTTCTTTAAATTACACTTTAACTCAATGTTTCCCAACAAAAACAGAAAATATTTTTCAAAATAAGCCTCCCCCTTCCACATTGGTAGAAGAATTTTTTAGTTTTCTCAAAAATAACTAAATCCATTGGAGGTTTGCTGCAGAACTTCCTGGATATGTTGTTCCACTATTGATTAAAGAGACAAGAATGTGTTGGCTCTGAGACTTTAAAACATTCAGTAGAATCTGATGTTAAAAGAGAACCACCCTTCACCCTAATAAAAAATTTTAAACAGTCTAACATACTTGGTCATCAACTTCCCTGCAGCTCTGAGTTCACTACTTTTGCTCTTTTGTTAAGTACCATGTTAACTATAGACAAACTTATAAAACTGTCTTTGAAAACTTACAAACTGTCTTTGAAATTTTTTTCTTGGTTGTTTTTTGGCATGTAATGTAGAAAACCTCATTTTTATTTAAAAAAAAAAGAAAGGAACAGAAAACAAAAAAAACCCCACCAACAAAAAAAATTTAATGGATTCTGCACTCAAATAATATTGTTACAACAAAAATATACAGAATGTACACAATACAAAAATATTTGGAAACATACCATAGCGTCTTACCTTGCAAATATAATTTTGTTTTACTAGCCCTTAATGGGAAAGTATCATTTGTTCAGTATTTTAAGGCAGAAAATTACATTGTTTAGTGCTTTGTGTTTAACACTTGGATGTGTCGTAAGCATTAGTAGTGTAAGCAAAAGAAAAGCTGCGTAAATCTAGCTTTATTTGCAAACTAAACAGACACTGTGGGGGAATCAGGAGACAGTGACTAACGTACCTATTAGGCTCACTGAAAATTAAGGTACTTTTGCTACTTAAATCAGGCCTAGGGAATATTTTGTGCTCTGTGTTGTAAAGTACCCTGAAACATAATTTTTCTGTATTAATACTGGCATTTCAGAAATACGTCATTAGAAAGCTTTTTCCAATTAAAAGCCAATGATTAATGGTGACATTAAAAGTACATTTACCTTTAAACAAGCTTGGTTTCTGTCTTATGTGTGATTCTTTCTTTATAGAGCTGCAAAATGCACTGCTTTCCTTTATAACCAGCTCTCAGCATCAGTGATTGCAGAAGGAATTTTTGAGTCGTATCACAGAGCAGTGTAGAGCAGCCACTACAATAAAAGAAACAGAACAGCAGCAAAATTCAAAGTGACTAAAACCCCAGAGGTGCTGGCCTTTGTTCTCTAGGTCCCAGTTTGCCTCCAGAGGTTGCTAGTGTTGAACTGCATCCATATTCTCCAGTTCCACTTTGGGTAAAGCCAGTGGATGGGGTTTCCAAAGCAATTGAGCTGAGCTTGAATCTATGTAAACAGATAGACTGAGCTCTTTACTCACTGAAGTATGTGTGAAAGTCCTACCCACGATCCTGTGAGACTAAATATTGGCACAAAACAGCAGCTGTCTTGTGAGGTCAGCAGATAAAGCTGGTACTAAAATAATAGTTAAATGTATCAGATTCCATCCTTATACCCCCGTTCAAATTGAAACTATCTGATTTAAAACATACGGGCAGTACAATCTATCAGAAGGAGCAAGGCCTTGGGATATAGAATCCCTAAGCTTTATTTCTAGTCCAGCAACCTCAGACAATGATAACTTCTCTAGCCTCTCCCTTCCCCATTGATAAAATGCTTCCTACTGCTGAAGAAAGAATCACAGTATGCCACATAAGTGCTAAGATTCCTCATCAACTGATGGGGGAAAAAGTGACATGAGATGTTGTCTTAAGACCTCAGCAAAAGTAAATTAATCAGCATTTTACAACTCGTCTACACTGACTCAGAGAATGCTTCTGGTAACTTCATCTCTCATCACTCCATTACAACCCTCTCCTTCCTATACTATTACCAATGTGTGCAAAATTAATCTCTACTTGCCTCCAAGCATCTGGGAATAAAAGGTGCAATTTGCAAGCCCTGTGGACTTTGATCTACCTGGTTCTCCTTTTCCTTCTTCCTCTCCATGGCTGTCTGAGCCCCTTCTCCCATCTCTCCTCTGGGACGAGGGGATCAACGAGAGGCTCGGAGCCAGACCCCATCTGTGCTGTTGCCATGCTGCCAGCAGGCATCCCTGAAGGAGCTCTACAGCCAGCACCCCAGGCTCTCCCAGTCTGCATTACTACTCCCTACACCCATCCTCACTGGACCAGTGCTGCAATATACTTACTAAATTGGAAGTCCAGTACAGAAATCGCTTTTTTTTTTCCTCCAGGTGTTGTGTCCTCACTCAAGATGACAAGCATAAAATAACTTCCTCTAACATCCACTGTTCGAATCTGTACATCGGTAACAGTCCTTGCACTGCACATCCATAAGGTTCAATAAATTCACATTTTATCTGATTGATGTAAAATCCTGACAGCAGCTGAAATAAAACCAAAACCACCACCAAAACCAGTCCCTCAGTGGACAGCTCCTTCAGGAGCACATTGCTGACTGTGACAAATTGGAACCACAAATGAGCAGGATGGAGAATATTATGCCTCTGACATAAGCCAGCAGCTTCAAGGACATCTGGAGGTAAAAGAAAAGCCTGTTTGCTATTAGCTCTCTGGTGCTGCAGCACTGTGGCACTCCTCGGTGGATTAGAAAACAACGTAACTGGGTTTTCTGATACTCTGTAAAAACGTAACAAGTTTTCATAGTATAATTTTAGTGATAAAAATGTAATTTTAAAAGCTTAAGCACTTCTGCTGCTCCTGACTCCATGAGCTGACAGATTCTTAGCAGACAACAGGCTCTGGTACAACCTACTCTATATATGGGGAGAGA